GAGGATAGGTCCATCAATGGTTATTAGCCAGGATGGGCAGGGATGGTGTCTCTAGCCTCTGTTTGCCAGAAGCTGGGAATGGGCAACAGGGGGTGGATCACTTGATGATTACCTGTTCTGCTCATTCCCTCTGATACACCTGTGTCAAGGTTCCTCCCCCACTCTGAACTCTAGGGTACAGATGTGGGGACCTGCATGAAAAACCTCCTAAGCTTATCTTTACCAGCTTAGGTCAAAACTTCCCCAAGGTACAAAATATTCCACCCGTCGTCCTTGGATTGGCCGCTACCACCACCAAACTAATACTGGTTACTGGGGAAGAGCTGTTTGGACGTGTCTTTCCCCCCAAAATACTTCCCAAAACCTTGCACCCCACTTCCTGGACAAGGTTTGGTAAAAAGCCTCACCAATTTGCCTAGGTGACTACAGACCCAGACCCTTGGATCTTAAGAACAATGAACAATCCTCCCAACACTTGCACCCCCCCCCCTTTCCTGGGAAATGTTGGATAAAAAGCCTCACCAATTTGCATAGGTGACCACAGACCCAAACCCTTGGATCTGAGAACAATGAAAAAGCATTCAGTTTTCTTACAAGAAGACTTTTAATAAAAATAGAAGTAAATAGAAGTAAAGAAATCCCCCCTATAAAATCAGGATGGTAGATATCTTACAGGGTAATTAGATTCAAAAACATAGAGAACCCCTCTAGGCAAAACCTTAAGTTACAAAAAAGATACATAGACAGAAATAGTTATTCTATTCAGCACAATTCTTTTCTCAGCCATTTAAAGAAATCATAATCTAACACATACCTAGCTAGATTACTTACTAAAAGTTCTAAGACTCCATTCCTGGTCTATCCCCTGCAGAAACCAGCATACAGACAGACCCACAGACCCTTTGTTTCTCTCCCTCCTCCCAGCTTTTGAAAGTATCTTGTCTCCTCATTGGTCATTTTGGTCAGGTGCCAGCGAGGTTACCTTTAGCTTCTTAACCCTTTACAGGTGAGAGGAGCTTTCCCCTGGCCAGGAGGGATTTCAAAGGGGTTTACCCTTCCCTTTATATTTATGACAACCTGGCATTGGCCATTGTCGGAAGACAGGATACTGGGCTAGATGGAGGATTGCTCTGACCCAATATGGCCGTTCTTACCTATTGTATCTTATCTATTGTAAGAACAGCTGTACCCACAGGTGTGATGCTTGGGGATCCCGTCAACAAACACCAAATAGTAAATATTAAGAATCAGAAATAATTAAGAGTCAGATATCTTCCTGTATGAGATATTGCAGGACTAAAGAGAACCATGGTAATGAATGGTGTTTCATGATTTTCATTCTCTTTTAACCTGTATTATCAATCTTGACACTAACAAAAGTGGCCTTGTAGATAATGTTTTTGTAGATAATTTTCATTCCTTTTGAAAATTTCCATTTTTAATCAAAAACAGAAAATTGATCTGTTTTGGATTTTTTAGAAAAAAAAAAGTCAAACACTTTCAAAATCCTCCCTCCAAATAATTTCATTTCACACTTTTTTTTCCTGAAAATACTTATTTTGAAACCAGTTCTACTTGATACAAATAGATTTCTGAGCTAATTTTTAAAAGCATAACCCATGGATCTTAGTCCTTTGATACATAAGCCACAAACAGCCTGCAGGGCCTTTACGCAGATAGCTTTCAAATAGCTTTCCAAGCCAAAAGAGCTGCAATTGTTGTATTACCTACGCTGATGCTCACTTTAACACAGATACATCAGAAGCACTTTTCCTGACTATCGTGGTGTGTCTGTATCAGGACTGGCAAAATTACTAGTTGCAAATAATTTCTCCTTCTGATTTTTTTGGCCCTTGTTTATGTTTATGAATCACCCACAATCCAGTCATGAGGTTATGAATTTCTCCATTATTTCCTATATTTTGTTTACAAATATCGTTGGGCCCATATGTTTCTGTGAACTATTCAGAAGTGCTTAGGAGTTTTTACTAGTCAGATTTTGGTATTTGGTCTGTGCAATGGGACAGGTTTCTCAGACGTTATGGTTTCCGTTCTCTAATTGGACGATGTAACTTTTATAAACAGAAGCAAAGCCTTAAGAAACCTTTATAAACAGACACAAAGCCAAAGGGAGTGCGGGGGATGAAATCGTGACCACGCTGAAATTAATGATAAATTAATTGATTTAAACCAAGCCTGATTTCCACCCACTGTAGCTAAGTAGGCCTAAGAAATTTTAAACCATTGAGACTATTTTCTTGCACAGTAAAGAGTATTCTATTTTGTAAAGCCCCATTACTCCAGTTTTTAATATTGTTTGTTTCCTTCCTTATAAACCACGTTTATTGACTTTGCCAAATTTCTCTTATCACATTCCCACCAACTTGTTGTATGTTTTTGTACAGTGTCTGGGGAAGCACTTCTGACATATCTTCCTACTGTATTTTCTACTGCATGCAATGATGAAGCAGGCTTTAGCCCACAAAAGCTTATGCTCAGATAAATTTGTTAGTCTCTAAGGTGCCACAAGTACTCTTCATTCTTTCTTCTGAAATGTCTGTAACTTAGAATAAGACGTTTGGACTTCAGCCACTGGGGGATGGGGGTGAGTCAGGACTCCGGGCAGGGGTGGGGTCAGGGCTTCTGACCCTCGGGAGCACCAGGGCTCAGGGCTTCAGCCCCAAGGCTCTGTTCCCGGCTTTTGCCTGGGGGAGGGAGGGGAGAGCACCAGGGCTTGGGGCTCCCCACTCCACTCCAGGTTTCAGCAGGGGTGGGGCTCACTGGGGCTCTGGGCTTTAGCTACAGGGGAAGTGCTGGGGCTGAAACCAGCACTCCCCTCATAGCTAAAGCCTTGAGCCCCAGCGCCCCCCACAGGGCTGAAGCCGGTGCTCCCGAGAGTCAGAACTCTGGACTCTTCTAACTATTGTAGGAGAACTTTTAAAAGGTATGGATTGCGAGGATATCATTAGAATGTTCACTGAGCAGAAATCAAGGAAAAAACATGATAATACTTAGTCCTGCCATGAGTGCAGGGGACTGAACTAGATGAAATCCTATGATTCTACGTGCATGTGAAGTAAAGTAGCACCTACCTGCTACCTACGTGATTGTTTTAATTACATGTGTTTTTTGTTATTGCATTGAATAAATATTTAATTTTTTAAAATATTTTTCTTTTCATTTCATTTTCACGGAAAACACATAGGCCAGCTGTAGGCGGGGGCAGGGAGGGAAATGAACCCTGAAGATGCTGTGCTTAGGTGTGCGTAAGGTGTAAATTTGGCCCTGACTATATCCTAATTATTTGCTATTCACACCTGACTGCAGTTAGCAAGAAAATCCTCAGATGTGTAGCCCACCTTTGCAAATTGGACTGCACTGCAAGCAGGTGGCCACACCAAGAATTGTAGGCCTGGAGAATGAACTACTCTTGCTCTGAAATGAAATGTGGTCTCTCCAAAGGAGAATTAAGACAAGGTGGTGAGGTGCATGGAGCATTCATTGCCAATGGTGGCTGCATCTGCTCTATAGATAAATAAAGGACCTCAATCTCCAGGGCTGTCAATCTGATCCCTTTCTGCATGAGCACTTAAATTCCTATTTATAATAAAGTTCACACTTAGATCTTATGCTCATGTCCATTCTTCTTTAAACTATTGGAACGGATGAACTAGGCATACGCTAGTGATGACTAACTACTGAATGCAGGTTACGTGCAGTCATTATTTACAAGTATTTTGTTATTAAAGCCCCCTACCAAACCAACATCTCTTTTCTTTAGGAAGTGGGGATCTTTTACAGCAGTTTTAAATATGTTTTAATAGGTTTTCTGGACAACCTGCACACACTATTCAGTGACACTTTGGATTGCCCAGTATAAGCACATAACCTAATAAAAGAGTCTTATTGTGTGACACATTACCTAGGGAACAGGGGAAAGGCAGCCTCAAAATAAATGATGCTTTGAAAGGGACTCTATCAATATGTCTAGTCCCAAAATCCAATTTGTTTTAAGAAAAAAAAGTTTTGCAAAATCTAATATTAGTAGAAAGCTGTCGTGACTTTTAAAATACTTACTTGACAAACCAGGAGCAGTGGAAGAAAGTGGTTAAGCATTTCCCAGAAATGTTTGCAACACAAACACTGCAGCTTTGTGCTATTTAGTTATTCATATTCATAACTGAAGAGAGCCTTCAATCCAGGCACTGGTACAAAAAATTAAGATACTGTACACACAATCAATCAAAAGACAGACAGGCCCCCACATTCTAATCCTTCCCACAGAAGTCATCCTGCAAATTAACCACCACCTTCATCGAGTCACTGCATTCTTCTACCCACCCCTCCCCAAACACACATACAAAAAGAAATTCTGTTTACAGTGTGTCTTGATAATCAACATATTGGGGCTGCAATGGACAAAGAGGATAGGAAGCAAGTTCTACATTCAAGGATCCTCATGGAAAAGGCTCCTTCAGTTTAGAAAGCACGTAGAGTTCAGTACAAATCTATAGCATAGAAAGGGTAAGCAAGAAGATATTGATTTTAATCAAACAACTAACCGTCTTGCTGCAATTATACTGCACTCACTTGAATGGAAGATCAGATGCATGATACCTAGCATTTCTGACCAAACTAAAGAGGAACACAGGTTTTTTAATACATACTTGTATATCTTGTAGCATTTGAAGATTTAAGGAGCTGTTTTTCTCAACAGAAAATCAGAGAAGACAACTAGTTTAAAATAAAACCTTGAATAAGGGTGATAAGGGAGTTAATAAAGCAACAGGGACACTGGGCCCTGAGTCTTGATTCTTGGCCACAATAGTTTTCACTACTGTTGAAATTAAATTATCCACTGAACTCTCTCATAAGTTTCCAATTTATTCACATCATTCAGTTCTCCAGTTTAACCATTCTTTCAAGTATTATACTATTTTGATTCATTTCAGTCAGCTCTTGTACAATATAACCGATTTTAGAACCAAGTAGTAACTTACTTTCTTGTATTGCATTATGAATTTCTGAAAAGTCCACATCTCTCTTCTGGACATCTGGCTTTATCGAAATTTGCGTTTCCAACTGGTTACTTTGCAAGTCCTCTGTTCCTTCTGAAGAAATCGAAGAGATTGATGGAGTTTGTGACAGTGCAGCAGAAAATCCAGCAAGGGTCTTTGCGGAGAGGCAGCTGCCACAATAACTAAAGCTAGCTAATTTTTTTCCCCCCACCCACCCAAGTCAATTTTCCTACAGACCAGACAGGTATTGTTAGATAATCCAGAATCTATTGGTTGTTCCTCCACTGAGTTAAGACAACACAGAGCATCAACAAAATCCTCTTATGTCAACTACCCACTGACATCACTGCTGAATTCCTTCACCATCCTGTACAGTGGGTCCCTCTCACTACAACAACCACAAGACAAACTCCACTATGTTAAAACAAAGGGGAGAGGCATATGGACATCTCCATGCCACTACAATAAATAAGCAAAAATAAAACAAGCAAATAAAAAAAAAAACCCACCAAGCCAAATAAAGTCTCAAGACAGCAAACAGCCTATGATAGACATCAGCAAGGAAAGAGCAAGGACAGTACATCACTCAGATAACAGCACAAGACCTCTTACATGTCAAGGTGTTGCAGTCCAGCCCCTGAAGTGCTGCAATACTGCTGTGCATTTTGAAGAGGTTTGCACGATTCACACCTTGATGTTTTGTGGCTGCCATGGTGTGAATTATAGTGCATTTCATAATTCTGCAACACTTTATAGACTGGCACAGGCAAGCAGTCAATTTTTCAAATCTAGTTACACATGTAACAGACATAACGTATCCATTTTGCAAGCCAAAATGCTCTTTTGCATGTACAAATTTGACAATTGGAAAAACTGACCCTCCCATGTACACTAACACAGCTGTGTTCCAAGAGGAAGGCAAAATTATTCTGGAAGTTTGATGATGCACTGTGCATATAGGCTTTGGTCTGCAGACTATTTTAGCTCAGGTTAAGACCTGAGACATGGCTATTGGACATATAACATATTTTCAAAGGAGAGCAACAAAGAGTTACAGCACTTGTGATAAGTACAAGTGACTCCTTGAGTAAGCACAACACATATCCCATGGGATTACAATGATCAGCAAAATATCACTTATCGGATTTAGGAATACATAGGTTGTAATACTGCATCAGACCATTAAGCCCAATCCCCTGCTTCCATCAGTGCTAATTAGTCATGCTTCTGATTATGATGATTTCCTTCCCCTCGTACTTTGCCATGCATCAAGTCAATTGTGCACTGGTTCTGAAAATGGTGGAGAAATTCCTTCCTGACCTGTGCAGCAGTCTTTTTTTCCCCATGAAGCATGAGATTCGATTATCCCATCATTATTTTAGTTTGCATAGCAACAAACATGATTCCTGTTGACCAAGTTATCCAGCCCGATTTTAAAGAGTGCCATACTCTGTTACCTCACTCTTTGGAAATATGAGAATCAAAGTGAATTAACTTGGTCTTTTTATTCAACAGGAAAAAGATTATACTTTTAAACTACCTCCATATATGCCCCAGTTTATTTCTTTGTTCCAGAGAGAAGACTCCACTACTGACATCAGAGGCAGTTTCCCTTGTAGAGTCTGTAAGGTAATCTGTCATTGCGGTAGCAGGAGACAACATTTATTGACAAGAACAAAGAGTTTCTAAAGTGAGACAGCTGATATTTCAAATAATAGCAACCTTGGGAAATCTGCAGGTGGCCTACAAGGCTAGGGACTAAGCTCTGCCCCAGAAAAGAGATTGGATGACCTACAGGCCAGGGAAAGGTATTGCAGTCCCTGATTGAGATTTGTAGACAACTGGGATGGGGAGTAAAGAAATAAGGATTGACTTAAGTGGTTTGTTTGTCCCTGATTTATTTCAGTTGGTGTAACAGGTAAAAAACCCTCACGTGTGACAAATTTTAAATATGTATTCCTTGTTAATATCCTCAAAACCAGTAGCCTAGCCTCATCCCTTAGCTAGAATTAACCGACAAATCTAAAATACTCCATCTTCCTCAGACACCTACCCTCCTCACATCTCAATTGTCACTCCCAAAAGATCAAGAAAATAGATGAGCTCTGCAGCACACCCAACAAGGGCAGAAAGAAGTAAGTTCCAAGGCCCAGGGACCCTTACAGAGAACACAAAGTCAGCAGCCTCTTATCCCTTCAAAACCAAGAGAGTTCTAGCTGGAGTACTTCTGCTGATCACAACTGTGGCAGCCTAACATGGGGAGAGAGAGGCACTCTGTTGAACAGGAGTACTTGTGGCACCTTAGAGACTAACCAATTTATTTGAGCATAAGCTTTCGTGAGCTACAGCTCACTTCATCTGGTGCATAAAAGTGGAAAATGCAGTGAGGATGTTTTTATACACACAGACCATGAAAAAATGGGTGTTTATCACTTCAAAAGGTTTCAAAAGGCCCTACGCTACCAGCACTCCCAGCTATCTTCAAGACACCACTGACTTCCTAAGGAAACTACAATCCTTCGGTGATCTTCCTGAAAATACCATCCTGGCCACTATGGGTATGTCTACACTACGGAATAAGGTCGAATTTATAGAAGTCGGTTTTTTAGAAATCGGTTTTATATATTTGAGTGTGTGTGTCCCCACAGAAAATGCTCTAAGTGCATTAAGTGCATTAACTTGGCGGAGTGCTTCCACAGTACCGAGGCTAGAGTCGACTTCCGGAGCGTTGCACTGTGGATAGCTATCCCACAGTTCCCGCAGTCTCCGCTGCCCATTGGAATTCTGGGTTGAAATCCCAGTGCCTGATGGGGCTAAAACATTGTCGCGGGTGGTTCTGGGTACATATCGTCAGGCCCCCGTTCCCTCCCTCCCTCCGTGAAAGCAAGGACAATCGTTTCGCGCCTTTTTTCCTGAGTTACCTGTGCAGACGCCATACCATGGCAAGCATGGAGCCCGCTCAGGTAACCGTCACCCTATGTCTCCTGGGTGCTGGCAGACGCGGTACGGCTTTGCTACACAGTAGCAGCAACCCCTTGCCTTGTGGCAGCAGACGGTACAGTACGACTGGTAGCCATCATCATCATGTCCGAGGTGCTCCTGGCCACGTCGGCTGGGAGCGCCTGGACAGACATGGGCGCAGGGACTTAATTTAGAGTGACTTGACCAGGTCATTCTCTTTAGTCCTGCAGTCAGTCCTATTGAACCTTCTTATGGTGAGCAGGCAGGCGATACGGATTGCTAGCAGTCGTACTGTATCATCTTCTGCCGGGCAGGCAAGAGATGAGAATTGCTAGCAGTCGTACTGTACCATCTTCTGCCGGGCAGGCAAGAGATGAGGATGGCTAGCAGTTGTACTGTACCATCTTCTGCCGAGCAGCCATGAGATGTGGATGCCATGCAGTCCTTCTGCACTGTCTGCTGCCAGCCAAAGATGTAAAAGATAGATGGAGTGGATCAAAACAAGAAATAGACCAGATTTGTTCTGTATTCATTTGCTTCCCCCACTCCCCCGTCTAGGGGACTCATTCTTCTAGGTCACACTGCAGTCACTCACAGAGAAGGTGCAGCGAGGTAAATCTAGCCATGTATCAATCAGAGGCCAGGCTAACCTCCTTGTTCCAATAAGAACAATAACTTAGGTGCACCATTTCTTATTGGAACCCTCCGTGAAGTCCTGCCTGAAATACTCCTTGATGTACAGGCACCCCCTTTGTTGATTTTAGCTCCCTGAAGCCAACCCTGTAAGCCGTGTCGTCAGTCACCCCTCCCTCCATCAGAGCAACGGCAGACAATCGTTCCGCGCCTTTTTTCTGTGCGGACGCCATACCAAGGCAAGCATGGAGGCCGCTCAGCTCACTTTGGCAATTAGGAGCACATTAAACACCACACGCATTATCCAGCAGTATATGCAGCACCAGAACCTGGCAGAGCGATACCGGGCGAGGAGGCGACGTCAGCGCGGTCCCGTGAGTGATCAGGACATGGACACAGATTTCTCTGAAAGCATGGGCCCTGCCAATGCATGCATCATGGTGCTAATGGGGCAGCTTCATGCTGTGGAACGCCGATTCTGGGCTCGGGAAACATGCACAGACTGGTGGGACTGCATAGTGTTGCAGGTCTGGGACGATTCCCAGTGGCTGCGAAACTTTCGCATGCATAAGGGCACTTTCATGGAACTTTGTGACTTGCTTTCCCCTGCCCTGAGGCGCATGAATACCAAGATGAGAGCAGCCCTCACAGTTGAGAAGCGAGTGGCGATAGCCCTGTGGAAGCTTGCAACGCCAGACAGCTACCGGTCAGTTGGGAATCAATTTGGAGTGGGCAAATCTACTGTGGGGGCTGCTGTGATGCAAGTAGCCCACGCAATCAAAGATCTGCTGATATCAAGGGTAGTGACCCTGGGAAATGTGCAGGTCATAGTGGATGGCTTTGCTGCAATTGGATTCCCTAACTGTGGTGGGGCCATAGACGGAACCCATATCCCTATCTTGGCACCGGAGCACCAAGCTGCCGAGTACATAAACCGCAAGGGGTACTTTTCAATAGTGCTGCAAGCTCTGGTGGATCACAAGGGACGTTTCACCAACATCAACGTGGGATGGCCGGGAAAGGTACATGACACTCGCATCTTCAGGAACTCTGGTCTGTTTCAAAAGCTGCAAGAAGGGACTTTATTCCCAGACCAGAAAATAACTGTTGGGGATGTTGAAATGCCTATATGTATCCTTGGGGACCCAGCCTACCCCTTAATGCCATAGCTCATGAAGCCGTACACAGGCAGCCTGGACAGTAGTCAGGAGCTGTTCAACTACAGGCTGAGCAAGTGCAGAATGGTGGTAGAATGTGCATTTGGACGTTTAAAGGCGCGCTGGTGCAGTTTACTGACTTGCTTAGACCTCAGCGAAACCAATATTCCCACTGTTATTACTGCTTGCTGTGTGCTCCACAATATCTGTGAGAGTAAGGGGGAGACGTTTATGGCAGGGTGGGAGGTTGAGGCAAATGGCCTGGCTGCTGGTTACGCGCAGCCAGACACCAGGGCGGTTAGAAGAGCACAGGAGGGCGCGGTACGCATCAGAGAAGCTTTGAAAACCAGTTTCATGACTGGCCAGGCTACGGTGTGAAAGTTCTGTTTGTTTCTCCTTGATGAAACCCCCCACCCCTTGGTTCACTCTGCTGCCCTGTAAGCTAACTACCCACCCCTCCTCCCTTCAATCACCGCTTGCAGAGGCAATAAAGTCATTGTTGCTTCACATTCATGCATTCTTTATTCATTCATCACACAAATAGGGGGATGACTACCAAGGTAGCCCAGGAGGGGTGGTGGAGGAGGGAAGGAAAATGCCACACAGCCCTTTAAGCACAGCACTTTAAAAGTTTACAACTTTAAAATTTATTGAATGCCAGCCTTCTGTTTTTTGGGCAATCCTCTGTGGTGGAGTGGCTGGTTGGCCGGAGGCCCCCCCACCGCGTTCTTGGGCGTCTGGGTGTGGAGGCTATGGAACTTGGGGAGGAGGGCGGTTGGTTACAGAGGGGCTGCAGTGGCAGTCTGTGCTCCAGCTGCCTTTGCTGCAGCTCAACCATACACTGGAGCATACTGGTTTGGTCCTCCAGCAGCCTCAGCATTGAATCCTGCCTCCTCTCATCACGCTGCCGCCACATTTGAGCTTCAGCCCTGTCTTCAGCCCGCCACTTACTCTCTTCAGCCCGCCACCTCTCCTCCCGGTTATTTTGTGCTTTCCTGCACTCTGACATTATTTGCCTCCACGCATTCGTCTGTGCTCTGTCAGTGTGGGAGGACAGCATGAGCTCGGAGAACATTTCATCGCGAGTGCGTTTTTTTTTCTTTCTAAGCTTCACTAGCCTCTGGGAAGGAGAAGATCCTGTGATCATTGAAACACATGCAGCTGGTGGAGAAAAAAAAAGGGACAGCGGTATTTAAAAAGACACATTTTATAAAACAGTGGCTACACTCTTTCAGGGTAAACCTTGCTGTTAACATTACATCCATAGCACATGTGCTTTCGTTACAAGGTCACATTTTGCCTCCCCCCACCGCGTGGCTACCCCCTCAACCTTCCCCCCTCCCTGTGGCTAACAGCGGGGAACATTTCTGTTTAGCCACAGGCAAATAGCCCAGCAGGAATGGGCTCCTCTGAGTGTCCCCTGAAGAAAAGCACTCTATTTCAACCAGGTGACCATGAATTATATCTCACTCTCCTGAGGATAACACAGAGAGATAAAGAACGGATGCTATTTGAATGCCAGCAAACATACACTGCAATGCTTTGTTGTACAATGATTCCCGAGTACGTGTTACTGGCCTGGAGTGGTAAAGTGTCCTACCATGAAGGACGCAATAAGGCTGCCCTCCCCAGAAACCTTTTGCAAAGGCTTTAGGAGTACATCTAGGAGAACCGCGAATGCCAGGGCAAAGTAATCCTTTCACATGCTTGCTTTTAAACCATGTATAGTATTTTAAAAGGTACACTCACCAGAGGTCCCTTCTCCGCCTGCTGGGTCCAGGAGGCAGCCTTGGGTGGGTTCGGGGCATACTGGCTCCAGGTCCAGGGTGAGAAACAGTTCCTGGCTGTCGGGAAAACCGGTTTCTCCGCTTGCTTGCTGTGAGCTATCTACAACCTCCTCCTCATCATCATCTTCTTCGTCCCCAAAACCTGCTTCTGTGTTGCCTCCATCTCCACTGAAGGAGTCAAACAACACGGCTGGGGTAGTGGTGGCTGAACCCCCTAAAATGGCATGCAGCTCATCATAGAAGCAGCATGTTTGGGGCTCTGACCCGGAGTGGCCGTTTGCCTCTCTGGTTTTCTGGTAGGCTTGCCTCAGCTCCTTGAGTTTCACATGGCACTGCTTCAGGTCCCTGTTATGGCCTCTGTCCTTCATGCCCTGGGAGATTTTGACAAAGGTTTTGGCATTTCGAAAACTGGAACGGAGTTCTGATAGCACGGATTCCTCTCCCCAAACAGCGATCAGATCCCGTACCTCCCGTTCGGTCCATGCTGGAGCTCTTTTGCGATTCTGGGACTCCATCATGGTCACCTGTGCTGATGAGCTCTGCATGGTCACCTGCAGCTTGCCACGCTGGCCAAACAGGAAATGAGATTTAAAAGTTCGCGGTTCTTTTCCTGTCTACCTGGCCAGTGCATCTGAGTTGAGAGTGCTGTCCAGAGCGGTCACAATGGAGCACTCTGGGATAGCTCCCGGAGGCCAATACCATCGAATTGTGTCCACAGTACCCCAAATTCGAGCCAGCAAGGTCAATTTAAGCGCTAATCCACTTGTCAGGGGTGGAGTAAGGAAATCGATTTTAAGAGCCCTTTAAGTCGAAATAAAGGGCTTCATTGTGTGGACGGGTGCAGGTTTACATCGATTTAACGCTGCTAAATTCGACCTAAAGTCCTAGTGTAGACCAGGGCTATGGATGTAGAAGCCCTCTACACCAACATTCCACACAAAGATGGACTACAAGCCATCAGGAACATTATCCCGATAATGTCACGGCTAACCTGGTGGCTGAACTTTGTGACTTTGTCCTCACCCATAACTATTTCACATTTGGAGACAATGTATACCTTCAAATCAGCGGCACTGCTATGGGTACCCGCATGGCCCCACAGTATGCCAACATTTTTATGGCTGACTTAGAACAACGCTTCCTCAGCTCTCATCCCCTGACACCCCTACTCTACTTGTGCTATATTGATGACATCTTCATCATCTGGACCCATGGAAAAGAAGCCCTTGAGGAATTCCACCATGATTTCAACAATTTCCATCCCACCATCAACCTCAGCCTGGACTAGTCCACACAAGAGATCCACTTCCTGGACGCTACGGTGCTAATAAGCGATGGTCACATAAACACCACCCTATACCAGAAACCTACTGACCGCTATTCCTACCTACATGCCTCCAGCTTCCACCCAGACCACACCACACGATCCATTGTCTACAGCCAAGCTCTACGATACAACCGCATTTGCTCCAACCCCTCAGACAGAGACAAACACCTACAAGATCTCTATCAAGCATTCTTACAACTACAATACCCATCTACTGAAGTGAAGAAACAGATTGACAGAGCCAGAAGAGTACCCAGAAGTCACCTACTAGAGGACAGGCCCAACAAAGAAAATAACAGAACGCCACTAGCCGTCACCTTCAGCCCCCAACTAAAACCTCTCCAACGCATTATCAAGGATCTACCACCTATCCTGAAGGACGACCCATCACTCTCACAAATCTTGGGAGACAGGCCAGTCCTTGCCTACAGACAGCCCCCCAACCTGAAGCAAATATTCACCAGCAACTACATACCACACAACAGAACCACTAACCCAGGAACCTATCCTTGCAACAAAGCCCGTTGCCAACTGTGCCCACATATCCATTCAGGGGACACCATCACAGGGCCTAATAACATCAGCCACACTATCAGAGGCTCATTCACCTGCACATCTACCAATGTGATATATGCCATCCTGTGCAAGAAATGCCCCTCTGCCATGTACATTGGTCAAACTGGACAGTCTCTACGTAAAAGAATAAATGGACACAAATCAGACGTCAAGAATTATAACATTCATAAACCAGTCGGAGAACACTTCAATCTCTCTGGTCACGCGATTTCAGACATGAAAGTTGCGATATTACAAGAGAAAAACTTCAAAACCAGAGTCCAGCGAGAGACTGCTGAATTGGAATTCATTTGCAAATTGGATACAATTAACTTAGGCTTGAAAAGAGACTGGGAGTGGCTAAGTCATTATGCAAGGTAACCTATTTCCCCTTGTTTTTTCCTACCCCATTCCCCGCCCCCTGTTCCTCAGACGTTCTTGTTAAACCCTGGATTTGTGCTGAAAATGGCCCACCTTGATTATCATACACATTGTAAGGAGAGTGACCACTTTAGATAAACTATTACCAGCAGGAAAGTGGGGTGGGGGGAGAAAACCTTTTGAAGTGATAAACACCCATTTTTTCATGGTCTGTGTGTATAAAGACATCCTCACTTCATTTTCCACTTTTATGCATCAGATGAAGTGAGCTGTAGCTCACGAAAGCTTATGCTCAAATAAATTGGTTCGTCTCTAAGGTGCCACAAGTACTCCTTTTCTTTTTGCGAATACAGACTAACATGGCTGCTACTCTGAAACCTGTTGAACAGGCCATCTCGAAACCATTTAAGGGTGCTGTAGGTCTAAATCACCTTAATCTTTCTCAAAAACCAATACGCAACTGATGCTGTGCCTGAGCACTGGTGTCCTTCTCCTCAGTGAGACAATCCTTCTGACAAATGGCCCACTGCATTCTGCACTAGCTTTGGTTTCTTAATGGATGCAGACAGTTCACTCCACATTAACAACACATGATTCAAATGAAGCACCACAATTTCCCCCCAGCAGTAGGAACACAAATCAGCCTCCCAGTGGAGACAGCTCGGCTGGACCAGGCACCCACTAGCCACAACAAATCCTCTAATCAGGGCTATGCAAATTCTTTAGTAAAGGCAAAGAAATTATCCCATGATTTTTGCTCTAGTTATCTTCTCTCTTTGCCAAGTCATCTGTAAACCAAGGTGATCTTTGAGGATGGAGCCATCAAAGAGATTGCCTAAGCACCACTTTATCAATGGTTGAGATCAAAGGCTCATACAATAATAGAATGGTACATCCAAGGGCCTATATTTTCCCTCAGTTCTGTTAAAGTGCAAAGGTAGACCATCAAAACAGCTCCCTTGCCTCTCCACAAAAGGTGTTTCCCAATCAGAACATGCAAAAGCAATGGTCAGTCCCTAACCTGAGCAAAATTTCCAGTTGCCCAGCCTCTAAAACTCTGAAACCTGTTGAACAGGCCATCTCGAAACCATTTAAGGGTGCTGTAGGTCTAAATCACCTTAATCTTTCTCAAAAACCAATACGCAACTGATGCTGTGCCTGAGCACTGGTGTCCTTCTCCTCAGTGAGACAATCCTTCTGACAAATGGCCCACTGCATTCTGCACTAGCTTTGGTTTCTTAATGGATGCAGACAGTTCACTCCACATTAACAACACATGATTCAAATGAAGCACCACAATTTCCCCCCAGCAGTAGGAACACAAATCAGCCTCCCAGTGGAGACAGCTCGGCTGGACCAGGCACCCACTAGCCACAACAAATCCTCTAATCAGGGCTATGCAAATTCTTTAGTAAAGGCAAAGAAATTATCCCATGATTTTTGCTCTAGTTATCTTCTCTCTTTGCCAAGTCATCTGTAAACCAAGGTGATCTTTGAGGATGGAGCCATCAAAGAGATTGCCTAAGCACCACTTTATCAATGGTTGAGATCAAAGGCTCATACAATAATAGAATGGTACATCCAAGGGCCTATATTTTCCCTCAGTTCTGTTAAAGTGCAAAGGTAGACCATCAAAACAGCTCCCTTGCCTCTCCACAAAAGGTGTTTCCCAATCAGAACATGCAAAAGCAATGGTCAGTCCCTAACCTGAGCAAAATTTCCAGTTGCCCAGCCTCTAATTCCAACACAAACATTACGCTAACGACCATTTAGCATAATCTCGTAGTCAGGATGAAAATCATGAGTAGACACAGAAGACTCATCATCCAAATTTGTTAATGTCATTAAGCATTATCAGCTACAGTACCACTATCACCACCATGGTGTGCAACTTCTTGAGCTCAGGAAGGGACTTTCAGCACATCAGGGAAATCAATACACTCAAAATATCCCCATTTTAATTCCATGTCAGGATTTGCCTACTAGATGGAATCCTGAGAAAAATTCTAGCCTCACTAAAGTCAACAGGAATTTTGCTATTTCTTTCAGTGGGACCAGGATATCATGCCCTGTATTTGATCCATTTTTGGTACGGGAGTCTCCCTGCAGTTCAGTCTGTATGCAAACAGCACAGCCACCTCACTTCCTCACTCATCTTCCTTCAGTTCACACTGCCCTAATACCTGGCTAGACTACATGAAAACCAGATCAACAGTATCATCCAGTACCCCCTGATACTTGAGTATCATCCAGCTGGGTTTCCGTAATACACACCAAATTGGAGGCCTCATCCTTTGTCAGTCATCCATGATTTAATATATTGTTAACCACAATCCTGCATTCACCAGCACGAACTGAAGAGTAAGGTTGTATTCATTTCACATTCACAACATAGGCCAACACCCGAGCCTTCCAAGAGCTAACTACAGGTGAAATCAATGGAAAGCCTTCCTTCTCCCACATCCTTCATGCTGCAGAAAAAAGAAGAAGAAAAAGCTGAATCTTGGCAGTCTCTCTCCTAGCCCCTTTCATGGGAGGGCTGCTGAACGTTTTTGAGAGGAGGAATGGCTGAGTTACTGGCCAAATTAAACGTGTTTATTCTTCTCTTCCAGGAGCATAAAGAAACTGAAAGTGGACACTGGAGGCTTACATTGCTTGGGAGTTAATAATGAAATTGGTTTGACAGAACTCCACACACCACATCTCCCACCTGGTCTGGGGGAGTTCTAAGGTAAACTGATATGTATGGAAGGACACATTGTTCTTTTCTGGCGCAAATAAGCAGATCTCTTTAGTTGTCCATGTGTACTGCTTCCAGTCTGCTACAACGGCAGACTTCTCTGGGCAGCTGTTGAGTATCTTTTCCCTGCCTCCAGATATCCTTAGAGAGAATCCCCCAGGCTGGCAGATATCATTGGCAGGCTACAGATGTTGGTCTCCCGTACCCCAAACTAGCTCAGATTTTCCCAGGTCATTCCCTATTTGAAGCATCACCAGCCTAACTTTAGCATCTCTACCTTGTTTCAGCAGTTAACTGCTACCTCATTACTGCCACAGTGTCTGATCCTCCTACAGGAAACTATAAGGGATACTTCCTGGGTTGTTAGTAGGAAAATGGTCTTCTCTCTGCAACAATAACATAAATACAAAAAAGTAGAAGTGGAGCAAATATGAAATTAAATTTTAAGGTTTTAAAAGATAAAAGTAAGATTTGTTTTTAGTTCAATTTGACACTAGTTCAATTTAAGTGAGGTATCTGAGCACAAACTTGACATTAACACTTAAAATGCAGCCATAGCATTTCTCACCATTGTGACTATGTCTCAAAAAGCACGACAGTATTTCCATTTATTTGTTCTGAATATACTATTTTTCTACCCTGAATTAATAATCAGATTTAAAACATTTTTCATTTTAATATGTAGGTTTGGCTCTAAATTAAAATTTTATTTTACAACCATCTTGCTCAACCTTTAACGTATTCATAAAATAAACTGAAAACATATTAGATCAGTATGTTAAAACAAAGTGTCATTT